CTTGCCTCAAGAACTCATAAAGTTTGATGAGATTCAATAAGTAATGCATTGAGCATGACGTGAACAGCGGCGTCATAGATCGCAGAGTCATAATGCATTCCGTCGAGTGTACATTTCGGTCCACAGTTCCAAGTGAAGGACTGGATATCAAGCAAGATAAGCGGACCTCCCATTTGGCGTAAGATCTTACTCTCCCCGAGCGATCTATCATACTCATGCCACACGGTATCACTCATCTTCTCCTTCTTCTCATCCGTATTCAACATCCCATTGATCAAAACCGGCATCCCGATCCAGAACAGATGCATAGATCTACTAGAAACCGATCCGCCTCCTTCTTGCTCCTTTGGCGAAAAGGGCACTAAAGACTCAACATGACTGCTCAATTGCTTCAATCGAAAACCGAAATCAGAAGCATTGTTAACATGAAGCATATGCCATAACCCACTTCCCATTATCACAACATCTGGATACTTATTCTTCTTCTTATACGATACAACAAGATCATCCAAATCTTTCTCATAAGGAGCCCACACAAAATCAAGTTTCATCCCAATCTCTTTAACCACAATGTTGTAATCACTATGTCTCTTAAACAAATCACCTTTAACCGATTCCATCGCCTCCGAATCCGAACCCAAAACCAGATTCAACAACGACAAAGCAACGAATCTAGCCTGAGAATCACCAGCAACAACAACCCAAGATCCATTCAACAACTCAGAAACATCGAATTTATCCAATTTCTGAAACTCACAAGTCAAAACTTTCCTCGATTTCAGCCAATCCCAATTCTTGTCGAAATAATCAAGCTTCGACCCGTTATTCCTACGAACAGATTCCGTATTGGGTTTCGGTTTAACATCCCAGACAATCTGATTCACCTCGTTAATACATGAGATACGATGATCGTAGACAACAACAGAGGAAACAGAAGCAACGATGTCTGAAACCGAAGGAAAATACGGCGTGAGATGAACACAAACCGCGAGAGAAATGAACAAAGCGCAACTAAAGAAGAGCATCTTGTTCCTGCTTAGATGCCAACCAGCCATAGCCATGGGAACGAAGAGGACGAAGCAAGCTGCTAATACTCCGAAATGAATCGCTCCTAGCATATCTCTCTCTATCTCAGATTTCGGAAATCAGACACATCTAGATTTCATCATCTAGACAAAAACCAAATATTGATTTCCAATTGCAGGATTGAAAAGCTAGGGTTAAGAAATTGGTTTGGTGAAGAGAATCAATCAGATTGAGAATTGAAGGTGACGATGAAAATCTGGTGAGTTTATGAGATTGAAAGGAACAGAACAACCGTAGGTTTCTTTCTTGTTTCAGTTTTTTTGTTTATAACTTTCCATTTTTGTAAGATCCCCCATAAGTTTGATGATATCATTATCAGACATGGTTCGGCTCACTTTAGCCTAACACGGAGTTACTAAGGATGATTCTAACGTGCGCCCTGCGCTGGCCATCACGTGACCGCTCGGTCGTTGTCTTTGATTAAATTATAAGTTTGGGAAATGACAATATAGCTCCCAAGTTTAATTAATGAATTATCAGATGTTATTTGCTAGAGGTAATTAATTTCCTTTGCGCAACTAGTCACACTCTTTGCTTGCTTCTCTAGATACCATTACAATGTTGCAGACATAAGGGTGCACAAGCGCATGTACAGTTAACAAAGCTAATTTCTGGGACTGATCAATCCTCTCAAGTTAAAGACACATTTTCTTATTAATGATGTTTTAAAGCGAAAAATCGTAACTAACATCATTAATAAGAAAATTTAGCCGCCACAAAAAAAAAACCTCCAAAAAGCATATCAAAAAAAACGAATTATACTAATCTCTTATATCCAAACTTACTTAAAACTTTTCAACTTCACTATTTGAAAAGCTTCATCATCGTGGCTTCCCACACATATTTCAAAAAGGTTTTTGAAAAAGCTACTTCCATCTCTACCATCTTCTTCTTCATTTCATGAATTTATGTATCATGGTTTTTCCCGAATTGTCTCTATCATGGTTTCTTTCCCACATCCTCCTCAATTCAGCCAAATTGCTTTCCTGCATCTTCCTCATTTCCGCCTAATTTTTTTCCCTCATTTCCCAAATTTTATAGCTTCTAAGTTTCTCGAGAGTCTCAACATTCCTTTGTTGAGCAAAAGTCGCCATGCATGCAAAATAATTTCCCAACTTTGGAAACCTCTTCCCAAAATAAGAGAAAGAAGAACCCATCAACGAAGACAAACTAATAGTCTGTTTAACGAAATCTGCATGGATTGC